GATCGTCCTTTGTGCGCCGGCATGTGCAGTTAGGGTTATTAGTAACACTTCCACAATCCTGACACTCTCTGATGATTGATCTGTTTTCTTTTTGGGCCTCATTTATTTCGATTTCTTCAAATCATTTGGATATTTGCAGGAGACAGCAGCAGCAATGAGGAGGAAAATGGGGAAAATAAGTTACTCGAGTTTGAAGAAATGAGAAACAAATGGGAGGAAAAACAGAGGAACTTTTACACTCACAAAGTTGAAAACAACAATCTTTATGCCTAAAGCCTGCGTACCTTAAATCCAACACGGATGCACTGAAAGCTTCTTCCACAGATATCATCTTTTTCTCCTACCAGTGTTACRTAACAAGCCGAAACACAAAAACGGATACAAGATTTCACAGCACGAGGGACACACACCGAGCAGCGCAAATACCTGCCAACACAAGAGTACACTTGAGTAGAGAAGGAGATGACAGCGTATTTATTTATTTATTTATTTATTTATTTATTTATTTATTTATTTATTTATTTATTTATTTATTTATTTATTTATTTATTTATTTATTTATTTATTTATTTATTTATTTATTTATTTATTTATTTATTTGTCTAAAGAAGCATCTGGAGACATTAAAGAAGCAGCAGTTACTAAATACCTACAGTGTGATGCACTCGCTGATTAAAGATCGCACAGATTTAATTAGATGAGCTRGTTGTGCCTAATGCAAATCAGATAAACCTAACACATCTGCTAATAACAGCAACCGAGCCACACATGGAGTAAATACTGTAGATAAAACATGCATTTGGTGTTAAATATTATAACGCTTTACTGCAAAGAACAAGGAGCAGGAAGGAGGATGGATCAAGCTGAGTTAAATGAGAATCTAAATGAACTAAAAGGTGATAGGTTTTCTGGTTGCTTCTGTTGCACATTACATCATTTCTCTGCTGAATTTTAGAAAAAGGTCATCTTATTTACTTTTTTTTGTGACGACTGTGCATTGTATCCATACAAAAAACTGAAATTCAAGCCCAAGAAACAAAGAAACATGAGCTTTGTGAGGCACTGAAGCATTGGGCTCAAACTCATTGACAAAAGAGGCCAAAAGTCAAACCTTGGTACAAGCCAAGGGCAAAGTTCTGTTAATATTTGTTAAATAAATGTCATTTCACAAATTATTCTTAGAGAAATGAAAATTACCTTTCTAAATTATGTTTTATGTAGCATTTATGTGGAACATACACAACTGTAATGGACAAAGAAAAGAATATTTAATAAAAAAAACATTAGCATTCATTTCTTATGCCTTACTCTATCAACAACTTTCATTTATCATTTCTATAAAAGATACATTTGATCTCAATCAGGCAAATCCTGTAAACTTAGAAAACCCTCACTAAAAATCTAATTATTTGATTTTAAAACAAGAAGAAACACAAAAAGATTGTTAGAGTCGATTCCCTGTTGTTCGTTCCACATCAAAGTCAAAGTTGAATGAAAAATTCAAACTTCATTTTCTTGGCTTGAAAGTTGACCAGCTGTCRTGAGACAAAAAAGAAAAAAAGCTATTTTACCTTTGGACCTGTATAAAATGTTAAAGAGGGTGAGATTTGTTCAGCTCGATACACGTGCACTAAAGGAACTTAACCTTCAATGATGTCCCTTTTAACAGATCAAAACCATGAATGTAGCTGCGTGTTTGTCTGTCAGATAATAAAACTGATCATAAATTAGAGGAATCATTTTAATGAAGACCTCTTAAAGTAATCATTAGATGAGAAGAGTTGATAAAGTTTTGGAATCATGCGTATTCTAGATGGTCAACTAACTTTAAACAGGACAAAACTGTCTCTAACTCAGTCACTTTTACAGATATTAAACTGTAGGTTGGTGTTCTTGTAGCTGACGGTTGTCCTCAACACAGACTTTGAGCTGAACAAAAACCGCATTAACTGTCAGAGTAAATCCAGCAATCTGCCTCAGGGTAACAACAATGTTATAACTTGGTCCATTTTAGAGACACTAAAGTAAAAGTTGTTGAGTCAGCTAGAATCAATATTTAGTATGAGATGTTTCTTTTTATCCCAATATTACTACATAGGGGTGTAAAAACTCATCATTGCCACGCCCATTGATGCTGTTGCCATAGTGGCGCATCCTCGTCACGCCCCAGCTGGTGTTTCCCCCGAGGAAAAGGAATGCTGGCGTGTGACAGAGAGGGAGGTTAACGTGCCCCATGTGTGCTTTGCTCCGTCATGTGTAGCGAGGTGTATCCAGGAGGAAAACAGAGCCGGTCAAAGGGAATTATCCTGCTGGATGTGCGGCTGGGAGTTCATAGGCGTGATCTCATCCTGCTGCGTTTATTTATTCTTCTCTTCCATGAGTCATCGGTTGTGTCGGCGATTAACTGTTTTGGTCAAGTGGYTTTACCTGACGCAGATGCTGCAGCAAACACAGACGACTTTAAATTGACTTTTTTAAAAGACTTGAAACTTCGAACCCTGCAAATAAAATAACTCAAGGTGTCCCACCCCTGTCCGTCTTTCCCGTCCCGAGCAAAGCTCAGAGCAATCAGGGAGGATGAAGSATTCGCCGTTCAATCACCGCATCTCAGGCCGCCTTTCTGTGCCGCTTGTAATTCTCCTCCACCTCACCGCCGAGCGATTTATAGAGCTCTCAAACATTCGTCTGACTCATCCCGTGACGTCTCCACTTTATTTTCCACCACTTCTCATCAGGTTTCTCCATCTACCAAGCTGGAGGCAAACATTTCAGCCCACCTCCGGTGATGCTGCGCTCTGGTCCTCTATGACACACAGAGGGGAAAACAAGCCGACGTGGGTCACTTATTAACACCACAGCGAACAGGTCTGCGTACAGTCRTAATATTTCTCGCATAGTAATCAAGTAATGTATCATTTTTTTCTTCGTCTCTTCAAAGTCTCAACCTGACAACTCACAAACACATCACATCATTCTCCTGCTGGTGCACCTTCCCCTCGTCGATCCGCTCAACCTCGATGTCGGTGTGGAAATGTGCATCGACGCCGTGTAACAGAAGAAGAGTTTCACCAAGAGGCGAGGCGACGAGGACAAAGGGAAGTGTTGAAAAGACAYGCTAAACCAGCTAACTGCATATTCTAAACAGAGTTGTAAAATAAGTACAAATACATTGTTACTGTACTTAAGTAGAAATGTTGGCTATCTGTTTTTGAGTAAATTTTTTTCAGCCAACTTTTTGCTTTTACTCCTTACATTTTTACACAATTATACTGTATGTACTTTCTACTCCCTACATTCTTTAAAAAAGGTAAGAAATTGAAAGTCTCATTCTGGCTCATTATTGTTAAAAATAATTTATCACAATAAACTGTGCCTTTGAATTTAATTCTGGTTGGATGAGATGTATAAGTATATACCATTCTGACACATAGTAGTTTGTACACAATCCATCACAGCTGCACGCCTTTAAAAAACATATTTGGAAAATCTAACCTCTCATTTTTACTCAACACTTTTACTTTTAAGACTTAAGTACATTTTATGTCAGAAATTTACTTTTGATACTTAAGTACAAAATAAATAAGATCCTTTAAGATTTTTACTCAAGTAATATTCTTAGAGGAGATTTTAACTTTTACCAAAGTATTTTTATGATAAGATACTTGTACTTTTACTCAAGTATCACAAAGTGATACTTTATACAACACCGTTTCTAAATGTGTAGATTTTATGTTCTGAAGAAAATCTAAATGTGAGTGCTCAAAATGTTTTGAAATCTTTGTACGGAGTGACAAACATATCACAGGTTTGTGTTTTTACACTGCTGCAAAGTTTTCTGTCCTAACTGCAACACATCTCCTCCCTCATGTGCCTGATCTCATCTGCATGACAGAAACTGTAAATTACTGCAGTTTTGTCATTATTACAGGCAGGTAAAATTGTGATGACATTGTTTTATTTAAAGCTTTTATCCATGCTGTTGTTTTAAAGAATGATTGCAAACAGACCCATGTCACAATCACACATCTGAAAAAGCTTTTAAGCAAAATTTAAAGCAGTTTAAAGTTTATGAACGATGAATATCTCACTGTTAGAAATGTTGGTTCATTAGTCTTGTTTTCTGTTTTGTAACTGTGTGATARGGAAGTYAYGTTGTTTCCCAGAAATGTTAGCGATGGCGAGAAAAGAACACAAAAAACCTGTCACCCCAAGTGCGAGGAGCAACTGCAGAGCCACATGTAGTGGGGGGCCGTCCTGAACTTGAAACCTAGATAACAGGAAGTTACAACTCGCAAGTTGGTATAAAGAACCACCAGACAAACAAGCTGTCATCTTTGCTGACGTGTGCGACTGCGCAGTTTGTAATCTTGGACTTCTCGCTCAGGGGACTTCACCCTGCTGTGTGTCTGTTCTTTATATCCAGGTATAAATTATCCAACGCTTACCRTATTTATTCGTGTATAAAACGATCTCATGTATAATACGACCCCCMCTTTTTTGAGCTTACAAAGCATAAAAATTTTAATCTTCAAACTACCTCCAATTTCATACAGACTTCAAGATTTTTCAGTCTTTGCCGTCTTTATAAATATCAGTAAAATAATCATTGGTCTGTTCATTTTATTTTAACAACACATGTACTAAAAGGTATTTTGACAACAAATATATATCAACTGTAGCAGCATCATATGAATTCTGTCATTTTACACATAGTCCACCAGGATGCGCCAACACAAAAGTCAGAGACTTCACATGAGATTTGGGCCATCTTGTGGGGGAAAGCAGATTACTTCCTACTCGTGAGCGCCCCCTCTGGTGGGGAAACTTTTGTCAGGGATACAAACTTTTTCAGAACACCGGTAGACGGAAGCCATTCCAGATGAACATCTGGTTGTTGTTGTTGTTCCAGCAATGGCTCGGTCACACTCCAATGTCTTTAGTTCGTTATCATTACTAAGGTGCAGGACTGCCTTTTTTTTCACATCATGTCSCCTGCCTGGATCTGTTACCATCTCTCTCTGATGCATGGAGGAGTGTCAGAGGTAAGCTTGCTTCAACTGCTTTTTACAGCGCGGTCTCCTTTCCAGACTGAATGAAGCCAATATTTCAGTTAAAATACATAAGTAAAAATATTTATCCAAGTATAACACTAACCCCCAACTTTATGGATGATTTTATGAATTAAATTTTACGTATTATTCTTGAATAAATATGGTACCTGCTGTAGCTCTTCGAACAGCCTCAGTTTGGAGAACTGCTCAGAATTTGGTTTAATTCTGAGCAGATAGCAGCTGGTCAGAGCAAAACCAAAATGGACTCCTCTGAAATTAAACTAGTTCTCCAAACGTTAAATAGTAAATGGACTGTTCTTATATAGAACCTTTATATCCAAGCAAAATACTCAAAGCACTTTGCTCTGTGTCCTCATTACCCATTCACACAGCACTCTACTGGCTCTCTGCAAGGCTAATCTAAATAAAACATTCTATAGAGACTAATCAGTGCTGTAGATCACATTCATACACTGCTGGGGAGGGGACACATCAACATGGGACTGAATAATGCTGGAATCGAGCCACCAACCCTCTCATTGGAGGACAACTCTCCTAACCACTCGTCCACAGGCACCCATTATCTATCGGTCATTTTCCCCTAAAGAAACAGCTCATTTTCCCAAGTTTATTCAAATCTCAAATTTATTAAAGCTTCTCTGATTATAACGTCTTCTTTCTCATCTCTAATTGAAGCCTGAGTTGAGAACATCTAAAGCATTTGGAACCAGCTGCTATGACTTAAAGATGCTAAACCAATGGAGATAACCTTTCATTTTGTCAGAACTTACATTGGGTAACACAGAGGTACAATGGCGCCATGCTGTCCTTAAAAATACCTCATTACAGCAAATATGACTATTATGCTCCAGACTCAATAAAATCGTGCTTTTCTTATCCTGAGTGTCTTTTGTTCTTTTAAAAAAGACCTGACATTTCTCCTAAAGGTGATGCCGCTCTGTCATCCCTGCTTCTCTGGGTTTGACCATTAATAGCCAATTTTCTGGGTTTTAGGGGTAAAAGGTCACCACCGTGATGGATGGAAGGTCTCAGGACAGTGCTAACCTTCTCTATTAACACACAAATGAAATGTAGACACATAGGAAATCATTTAAAATGCAACAAACAGACGTACTGTCTACACACAAACACACATCTATTCCTGATTTGCCATTTAACCACAAGCTGGTACCTTTACTATCCACAGCAGGACCGTATATCTCCACAGTGGCARGTGTGGAGGGAACCCCACAAATCTAAAATGCATTTCTCCAATGCAGTTAAAGAGGACGGGGAGGAGGCAGCAGCTGAGGGACTCATAGGCAAGGGGGCTGCTGGTGAAGACAGACAGCTTGGTTATTACTTATTAACCAGATTTCCACAACATTGATGATATACTGCTGAGCYGTCAGCGATAAATGTATCATTAATGATGAAAAGCCTCAGCAGTGGAGCCCGTGAGATAACGTGTAAATTTGAACAAACTGGAGAAAATGACTTGGCAGAAATGCAAAAGTGACAAGTCCAATCGGAATTTGTGGTGATGATGAACTCAGACTTTATCAATGACAAATCTCAGATGCTTCTTTTTAAAGAGAGACTGTTTGCTTCGTTCATCAGCTGCCACAGAGTTGTTGGTTTGATTCAAATATATGCTGAGACATAGTTTTTTTAATATATGAACAATGGTTGTGGTCATTAGCTGCTGCCTTGTAACTAAGGAGACACACACACATGGTGACACAGCATCTAATTAATTAATCATTGAGTGACAGCAGAGGTTTAATCATCTTTGCAAGTTGAAACGCAGCCAAAATCCTTGTCTACTACAGCTTTTCTACTGTTTTTCACTGATTATTTGTCCATCTTATTTATTTGTTTTGTTCATCACAGGCTTCACCTACAGACAAGAATTAAAGAATTAAAACCCTTAAAAAGGCACAACACACTCTTTGCAGCTGAGTTCTGTGAACAGGCTATGAATAAATAATRTCTTACCTGTTAAAGATGGATCTTTGAACGACATCAATGATTCAATTTAGGACCTAAATACTAATCTACATAAGTCACATAAATACCATTTTATAAAACTCTATACCACGCGTTTTGYATTACATTGAAACCCCGCAAAGTTGCGTTTCACAGTTTGAGGACTCCATCTTTTGCAGATTTTTTCATGGAACCTAACTACTATATTTGCAGTAATCCACATAATATTGCGGTAATAGGAAATACCATACCATACCATACCATACCATACCATACCATACCATACCATACCATACCATACCATACCATACCATACCATACAATACC